CGGTGGTGAGTAGTCTACATTAATAGTAACAAAAATCACACAGCAATAGTACGTCGCCCATCCCATTTCCAAGTAAGAAATGCATTCCTGCCCGTGCACTGCTGGCTCCAGGTCCATGTTGTATCTGACACCACTAACATTAACAGGTCGCTTACATTAGAACATCTTCTTACATGTTTTGTTTGGGTTTCCAGCAATCAGAGAAACTATATACATCCCAGATGGAAATTGAGTATAAAATGTTTTTTTTAAAAGGACATGTCGTAGTCGAACCGGCCTGCAATATATTATACATCCCCATCCAACTGAGCTGAACCTGCGCCCAACTGTGTTCAATCACCAAAATTGGAGAAGGCATAGAGAGGGGATAGCCAAACATATGAAATCGGAAATGACCGCCATGTATTCTATTTATTTCAACAAAGCAACTGTATTCTGATTACCAACGATTTAAAAGGTAACTGTAACAGAATACAGTTACTCACATTTTGTATTTTACTCCCCAACACTGTTTATGCTGCAACAGGTGTAGGCTGCTGGGGGATTCCCATGATGCACTGGGTGTTTCACTATGTGCTAACAGACCTCTCTGCACTAAATCATACCTGTTATTAACCTCTGTCTCTCTTCCACAGCATGTCTTTATCCTGTCTTCCTTCTCTCACCCCAACCGGTCTCAGTAGATGGCCAGCATATGACCCCCTATGAGCAGCACTTTGGCGACAGTGAGAAGGAAAAACTCCCTTTAAACAGGAAGAAACCGGCAGAGCCAGGCTCAGGGAGGGGCGGGGCCATCTGCTGTGATTGGTTGGGGTGAGAGGAGGACGACAGGATAGAAGATCACGGGTGTGTCCATGTCCTCCTAACAGATGCTGGAGCTGGATGTGTTGAGAAACAAGATCTTTTTGTTTCTTTGTGCAACATGGGCCAAAAGTGCGTCGAGGAGTTATTGTTGTATGAAGAAAGTTTAATAACTCAGTTAGTATATTATGAAATAACATTCTTCAGTAATAATATAGATAATGAAGATGAGGCAGTAACTTACCTATATATATACATATATGTAAGAAATAAGAAAGAAAGACACTGGGCAACAATGGCCTACATGGCAGAGTTCAAGACGAAAGCCACTGCAGAGCAAAAGGAACATAAGGGCTCGTTTACCAGAAAACATCTTGATGATCTCCAAGATTTCTGAAAAAACACTCTGGAGTAAAAGTAACAGCATTTCAGCAAACATCATACCACAGTAACATATGTTGGTGTTAGCGTGATGGTCTGGGGCTGGAAGACTTGCTGCGGTAAATGGAAGCATGAGTTCTGCTGTTTACCAGAACATGATGGAGAATGTCCGCACATCTGTTCATGACCTCAAGCTGAAGCTCACCTGGTTCTGCAGCAGGCCAATGATCCAAAACACACCAGAATATCTACCTCTGCATGGCTTAGGAAAAACAAGATGAGGACTTTGGAGTGGGGGGGTCAAAGATGAGCGAGCCTAAATTACATTTTTAGGATAGGGGGCAAAGACATACAGGCCCATGTAGGTTTGGATTTTTCCCCCTTACCAATAAATGCCTTCATTTAGAAACTGCATTTTATGTTTACTTGTGTTATTGTTGTCTAATAGTTACATTTGTTTGATGATCTGCAATGTTTAAGTGTGACGAACATAAAGAAAAATAGGAAATCAAGAAGGGGGCAAACCCTTTTTCTGTGTGCTCCAGTTTGTGCGATATATAATGTTAACATGGTTACATGGTTACTGACTTCGACTGGTTATATTCCAGTTTATTGTGACAAAGCCAACACACAGCCATGGTTCCTTCTGCTGAACTGTGCCAATGAGCATGGCTGCCTTCTGTTTGCTTTCCAGCACATTCACAGTTTCCATTCACAGAAAGAGCGATGGTGTCAGAGCTGTTTTGGCTAGCAGGGAGGACAAGGCTCTGTCTGGAGCCTGCATGGTTTGAGTGATTATACGAAAGATGGATTAGTTGCTACAAACTTGCCTGTTCAACTCGTGTTGCCATTGGCTGCCACCAGGCCTGAAATGGTAATCTGACATGCCAGGTATTTGCCAGGTGGCATGAAGAGCATGTGGGGCAATGGGTCAATATAGTTTTATAGCAGGCTAGGTAGTGCCCAACCCTACAACCACTGACCGCAGCCCATTTGTTCATTTTCATTACTGACACTGGATTACCCAAATCTCTTAACACAACCAGCCCCTCCCCTACCCCCCGTGTGCTCATGCATCAGTTTATTGTTGAAAATGTGGTTGATACAGATAGACAAACAAAAGTGAAAAGACAGAGCAAGAGAAAAATAAACTCTACATAGATGCAGCAAAATGCATGTGATTGGTACATGAGCCAGTACCAACACGACTAAAGGAATGAGGTGACCTTTCTGGTCCAGTGGTGTAAAAATAACCATCAATATTAAAAACATAGAGCAGTTTCCAGCTGGTTCACCAACTGGCCAATCTCCGCACCACCAGCGTCATGCCCCCACATGCTCGGCCTGCAATCATCGTCACAGTCATGGAGCCGATCCCAGCCCCACATGCTTGTCTTCCTGTGCAGTACCACAGTTCATTCTGTTATAGTTTTCTCTACATTTATGCCACATTATTGTAGTGAAGTAGATTCTGGGGAAGGATTTTACATGATGTCCACAAACGCACCACTGACATCCACACCTTCCCAGCCAACAATCAGCAGGCTTATAAGAATCAGCTGTGCTTCACTACCACAAGGAGGCATTTGGCAGTCTTGTCCATCCAAGGTGGCTGAGAGCATTAGGCAGTTAAGCGCTGCAGATCTCTCAAGGAAAGCTACTCAGTTTAGTATTGCCCTTTAGAGTGGTAAGTGGGACTCTTGTGTTCATCATAACGTGGCATATAGTAGGGTGGACTTTGACAACTGTTTCCCTCCTTTGTTGCAGGTTTGCACTATACTGCTGCTGTCTTGTCATGCTGTTTTGTTTGTTATGTGATGCTTTTATAACGAACAGTACTTTGGGGTGTATTTGTTTTGTAGATCTTTTATTAATGTGTGTAACGTTTTATGCTTTCTTTTATTGTTTTAGTGGAGGTGCGGCCGCTTGTTGAGGGGCTAGGCACTTGAGGTGGAATCCCCTTCCCGATGCATGCGAGTGTACACACTGGGCATAGGTAGATTGCACCATTTAGAGTTTAGTGTGAGTGAGGTCTGCAGTGAAATCACACGGGTGAGTAGTTGGTGGCACCCTTGGGCACTCCTCCCTCTAGGTTGCCTCCTCAAGTGGCCGGTCTCCACTATTTTTAGTTATTCTTTTATCATGCTGTGATTGTTTTAGGGTAGCATCGTGGTAGGGAGTCTGGTCATTTTAATCATCGTTTGTTAATAAAGTGTTTTAATTAACTATTTTGCCGTCTCAACCCTGCTACCTTAGATGCCTTTTTGATTTTATAATTCTATGTTTTTAGTAGTAGTTCTTAATAAATTTTGATTTGTAAACTTCCTTTGTCTCATCTCTGCCGTTAATAACGAGTCTGTGGGCTTTGGTAGCCAGTGCAACACGTACATTGGCTAGAGAAATCTTTCCTGGGGTGTAACGCCCTCCCCC